AATATTCCATCACTACCAGAATCTTATTGTATTTCCAAAAATCTCATACAGAGGCTGTTTATATAATCAGTTTGGAAAAGCCTTAATCTATGTCATTTAACTTACTTTGCATGTCTTGGTTTCAATACATCCTGCCTCTATATTTGTTGGAAAGTAACTTCAATTGATCTGTTTATTTAGTCATTAGATTACAAGGGTTGGATGATTTTGAGACTTGATAACTTAATGACCACCATTAGTGTTAGAATTGCCATTTCTACCGAGTGCAGGACTATAAGGGCATAATGATGACAAATACGCTATCTGTATGTCTTATCATAATGTTAATTCTGAATGGAAACCAGTAGATTATAATGAAAGTTAGAAAGCCTTGACCACTGTTAATTTCATATGCTGTTTCAAAGGATCTGGACTATAAAAAAAAATTCTTACCTACTGGTTTAAGTGTGTGTGGAATTGTTGAGTGTTCAGTAGTTGTTTTAAAAAGCACTTGGGCCAGGCGTGGTGGTGTGTGCCTATAATCCCAGCGACTTGGGAGGCCAAAGCAGGACTGTGAATTGAAAGCCAGCCCCAGCAACTCAGCAATGAGCTTTGTAACTCAGTTAAGACCCTGTCTCTAAATAAAATACAAAAAAAGGGTTGGAGATGTGGCCCCGTGGTTAACTACCACTGGGTTCAATCCCAGTACCACCCCCGCCAAAAAAAAAGCATTTGGTAGCCAGGTTTGTTGGCACACACGTGTAATCCCAGTGACTCAAAAGGCTGATTATAAATTCAAGGGCACCTCAGCAAATTAGTGAGACCCCTGAGCAACTTAGTGAGAACCTGTCTCAAAACAAAATAAAAAAATAAAAAAGGGCTGGGGATGTAGCTCAGTGGTAAAGTTCCCCTGATTTCAATCCTCAGTACCAAAGGTGGAGAAACAAAGGCATTTGGATGTAATTTGTCCCAATAGTTTCTAAAACCAAATGTCATATCATTTTTTTCATCATAGTTAAAATTCAGCAAATGGATAGCCAAATGAATTCTGACCTCTTGGAAATTTAGTATTACTTATATAAACAATTCTTAGGTTAAAGAACAAAATGTGAAATTGCTGACTATTTAAATGTGAATGTTAATTAGACCTCTGTATTTCAATTTTTATGAATGAGACCAAAACAGTTCTTAGTAGAAATTGTTCCATGTAAGCAACCAGGAAGACAGATGGCAGTCTGTGTCTTGTCACCACTCTTTCAGTTTCAATAATGCCTACAATATCGTAAGATCTCAAAGGATTTGTTGAATAATGATTACTCAGCAAGCTTGAAGAAGAAAAAAGTATCTGTGCTGGAGATGTTACTCAGTGACGGAGCACAGGCTTACCATGTGTAAAGTTTGGGAATGAATTCCCAGCACCACAAATCAAATGACCCAAATGAGTGGATGAATATGTTTTTTTTTAAAAAAAATAAAGACCAAATCATGGAATGAGGAACAATAAAGGTTTATCCAAAGCATTTCTCTGAAGGCTRGGATATAGCTGGGTAGGATGCTTACCTAGCATGCACAAAGTCCTAGGTTGAATCGCCAGTACCAGATTAAACAAAAAACAAACACMCAAAAAAACCTGTTTCTCTGAAGAAAACTATTACCAGATTTGGTAATGCCTCTGTCTTTATCATTATGATAAAGAAAGGGATGTACCTATACTCTTAAGGGTATTTTTAAAATATATAAAGTGTGATTTTTGTAGGAAGAGAACTTATTTTCTAGGAAATATTATTAAATGATTTTTTTTTAAACAGCCCCAAAGGCAAAAAACAAAAACAAAAACAAGGACCTTTGAAGGAAAGAGGAAGTGTTCGGTTGTCATGGAGCCAGAGGAGCGCTAAGTCCACCGAAGTCCCAGAGACGGCCCCAGCGGAGGAGCAGAAGGAAATGGAAGAAGATAAAGTGACTAATCCAGATAAAGCTGAAGAAGCAAAATTTAAAAGCAAGGTATCCTCACCTGGGACAAAAGCCTGGAGGTTTAGATTTTTTAAGGAAACGATTTCGGAAAGGGCAAAAATATTTTGATTCTGGGGATTGCAACATGCAAAAGCAAAGACGAAGAACAAGCAACTTCCCSTGCAGGCCCGGATAAGAAAGAGGTCACTGGTGACCATATTCCTACTCCCCAGGACCTTCCTCAACGGAAACCATCCCTTGTTGCTAGCAAGCTGGCTGGCTGATTAAAAGAGCTAACCTGCATGAATTTTCTAATTCCCATTATTTCTCCTCATATGTTACTTATCCACCTTTTATTCCTTTCATTCACTAAGCCAYTTAAATGAGACTGTCGGCTTTGCAGGTAGACATAGTATGCACTGGAATATACATGTGTAGAGGTTTTGATTAGTTTTAACAGTGCATTGATGAAAAGGACATGTTAGAGCAACATAAGTAATCTACTTGAAAGTATTTGTATACATTACTTAACTCCTAATAAAGGTTCCCACAAGTAATAAGCAAATTTTACAATTTTAATGTTTTTGCCTTCCTCGATTATCTTAATTATAGCTGTGTATGTTACTCTTATTTAATGTAACCTCTGTATTGATTTCTTCTGTATTTTCCTTCTGAATTTTGTCAAACAGAAGTTTAAGACCACAAGTTTGAAGAAAGATCACAAATTCAAATGAAAATAAGAGGGGCTTTGAAATATTTGTATTAACTGTGCTTGAACTTGAATGGCCTTAAACCTGTTTCAGCTTTAACAATAGAATTTTATTTGGGCAATATTTGCCCATTCTGGTGTRACTTACATGACTCCAGTRCTTAACAGCTGCCATTGAAGCTAGTATTCTTATTTARTTTTGTAGTGTTAAATACCTTTCATTGTTGAAGATGTGAATGAAGTATGCATGTGCATCAACTGTTGAATTCACTTTTGTGCCATTTTTGTAAATACAGTAGTTTTGCACAACCTTTCAACACAAAACAAAAACCTCAAAAAATTATAATTAAAAATCATGTGAGGGCTGGGGATGTGGCTCAAGCGGTAGCGCGCTCGCCTGGCATGCGTGCGGCAGGGTTCGATCCTCAGCACCACATACCAACAAAGATGTTGTGTCCGCCGAGAACTAAAAAAAAAATAAATATTAAAAATTCTCTCTCTCTCTCTCTCTCTCCTCTCTCACTCTCTCTTTAAAAAAAAAAAATCATGTGAGACTAGATAATTGTTTTAGTTCTCTGCGGACACAACATCTTTGTTGGTATGTGGTGCTGAGGATCGAACCCGGGCCGCACGCATGCCAGGCGAGTGCGCTACCACTTGAGCCATATCCCCAGCCCCGTGACTAGATAATTGTATAGTTACACCCTCAAGGAAAAAAAAATTCTACAGCACATTTGCCAGTTTATGTTGATGTAATTCTTATAATTAGATGACAATAGCTTCTGAACAAAAAATTCAAAAATTTCATTCAGGAAGATACATGAATAAAACAATAGCTGAACCCAGTAGTTAATGAAAGAATAATATATGATTAAAATATATTATGCTTATAATATGCTTACAAATCTTTTATCTGGATGGATGAGAATCCTGAATGAAAATGTACTTTTAGTTTTTACTTACTCAGTTTCTTCTAAGTGCAGATTTTTAAAAAATATTTTTGGTTGTATATGGACACAATACCTTTATTTTATTCATTTTATTTTTATATGGTGCTGAGGATTGAACTCAGTGCCTCACACATGCTGTAGAGCTCTACCACTGAGTCACAACCCCAGTCCCTAAGTGCAGTTCTTCTCCCTTTTAGAATTACCATCCTCATTCTGCCCTAACCACGTTTCTTTGCAAGAGTCACTGTTCTAGAAAAAGAAGGAACTAAAAAACCTTTGGGGGAAAAAAAGTAAAATAATTTATTTATTTTTATGTGGTGCTGAGGGTTGAACCCAGGACCTCGGCACATGCTAGGCAATCGCTCTAGTGCACACGTTTAGTACTTTAATAACTCCTATCTTTAACCGGTGGAATTTTACAACTGTGGGGAAAGTAATTTATTGTTATATAACTTTATTATGATAAACTGGCCATTTTCATTAATGCTGTGTGCTTGTCATTCTGGGGATTGAACCCAGGAGCATTTTACCTCTGAGATACATCTTCATTTCTTTTTTCAATTTTATTTTGAGGTAGGATCTTGCTTAGTGCCCAGTTCAAGTTGGTCTTGAACTTGTGATTCTTCTGCCTCAGCGTCTCAACTGAAATTACAGGTGTATGTCTTCATGCCTGGCTACATTTCTTTTCTTTTTTTTTTCCAATAATTTTTTAATTGTAACACAGACACAATAACTTTATTTTATTTTTTATTTTTTTTAAATATTTTTTTTAGTTGTAGATGGACATAATATCTTCATTTTTATTTATTTTTATGTGGTGCTGAGGATTGAACCCAGTGCCTCACACATTTAAGGAAAGTGCCCTATTTCTGAGCTGCAACCCCAGCCCCTAGATTTCTTTTCCAAAGTGATATGTACAATGAGAAAAATATCATTTACAGGTTATCTGATGAATCGCTGACCCCATCACTGGTTTGGTCACACATTTATAGAAAAGTATAATTCATTCCTTTTTCCTTAGGCCCAAATTGCCTTCTCAAGTTTGGGGTAATTGTTAATTACCAGTGTTTAATCTTCACAGTGAATTTCTGGATACCCTTTAACGCATCATTTGGGCTTCTCCATTATCCTCTATGTATTCTGAACACTGATAATTTTCTAGTATACCTCACAGATGACAAACTACCCTCATTCTGCCCTAACCACCTTTCTTTGCAAGAGTCACTGTATTGGAACCATTTTGAAAAAGAAGGACTAAATAACCTTTGGGGGGAATAAAAAGTAAAATTAAATTTATTCCTGGTAGTGTAAATCAGACTAAATTTCTGACAAATCAAGAGACCTAATATAACAATAAAAATACAAAAAGAAACTTCACAAGTATGACAAGAAAACATGGCTGGTACCTTTTATAACCGTAGAATGGGGATACCAATAACTATTGACTTGAAGATAGGCAGGGTGGTGCACACCTGTAATCCCAGCAACTGGAAAGGCTGAGGAAGAAAGATTGCAAGTTAAAGGTCATCCTGGGCAACTTGGAGACATCTTGTCTCAAAGTTTCAAAAAACAAACAAACCAACAACAACAACAAAAAAAAAAAAAAAAAAAGGAAGAGGAATGAAAAGGAAGAGGGAATAGGAAAGAAAGAGGGTTGGGGATGGAGTTCATAGCATTTGCCTAGCATGGACAAAGTACTGAGTTCAATCTCCAGTATCACAAAAACAAAAATAACTATGACTCAAAAAACCCTGCAGAAACAAGGAAGTCAAATTTTTGTAGGTCTTAAACAATATAAAATGGGAAAATGATAAATTGAGATATGAAAGACCCCTAGTATGATATAGAATTAGGTAAAAAGCATAAATAGATATTTCATAGGAAAAGAAAGAAATGGCCAGGTGTGGTGGTACATGTCTGCAATCCCAACAACTAGAAAAAGAAGGGTCTTCCTTGATGTTCAGGTAAGTAGTCACCAATACATGCACATGGAGAAACCTTCCTAAGCCAGGGGAAATCACTACCTTACTTATCTTTTTGGAATGTTCTTCTTCCGTATATCTGTATTTCTTTTTTAAAAAAATCTTTATTTGCTTATTCATTTTTTTAATCAAATGGGGTATAATTTCTTATTTTTCTGATTGTACAGGTTGCAGAATCACATTGGTCATACAGTCACCCATATACATACAGCAATAATAATGTCTATTTTATTCTGCTGCCCTTCCTATCCCCCCTTCCCCCTCCCCTCCTCTCCCATCATGCTTATTCATTTTTATATGGTGCTGAGGATCAAACCCAGTGCCTCACCTGTACAAGGCAAGTGCTCTTCAACAAAGCTACAACCTCAACCCCCAAATATCTATATTTCTTTTTTTAATATTTCTTTTTTTTGTACACAATACATTTATTTTGTTTATTTATTTTTATGTGGTGCTGAGGGTTGAACCCAGGACCTCACACATGCTAGGCGATCACTCTACCGCTGAGCCACAACCCAGTCCCTATCTATATTTGTTATCCCCTCATTTCAGTTGTCTGCTCAAAAGTCACGTTATGAAAATGTCCAATACGTAATTGCAGCTCTACTGTATTTTCCACTAATAGACTATTTTTAAAGTTGGTCTACTGTTTTTCTCTCCAATGCTTAATTAAAGCAAGGACTTTGTTGCATCCATTGCTTTGTCTCTAGTGCTTAGTACCATTTTTTGAATGTTGTTGATATTTAATACTTATTAACAACTGAAAAATGCAAATGTACCTGTATTCATCAATCTCCTCAGATGCTTCTGATATAAAACAAAATTTGAGAGTACTACTCATAATGTTTCAAATGATTTATACATTAACTTAGAATAAAATCCAAACTCCTATTCAAGTCTTAAAGGTTGGGGCTGGGGTTGTGGCTCAGTAGTAGAGCACTTGTCTAGCATGTGTGAAGCTCTGGGTTCAATCCTCAGCACCATATAAAGATAAATACATAAAATAAAGGTATAAAAAATAAAGGTATTACAAAATTAAGGTATTATGTCTACCTATAACTACAAATATATACTTTTTAAAAGTCTTAAAGGTTGCTGCATGATCCAGTTCTTTAATACATTTTACTTCATTCTGAGCCACTACTGTATTCAAGAATGATGCTCTACTCTTATTGGCCTGATGTAAGATCCTGGAATATATCAAATTCTTTCTTCTTTCCCAGCTAGAATTTCCACATGCTACTCCAGCTGCCATGAATGCCTTCTTTCCTTCTCTCTCTTTTTATTTTTTGTATTGGGGATTGAACCCAGGAGCACTTAAACACTGAGACAATCCCTAGACCTTTTTATTTTGAGACAGGGTCTAGCTAAGTTGCTTAGGACCTTGCTAAATTGCTGAGGCTGGACTTGAACTTGCAATCCTCCTGCCTCGGCCTCTCAAGTCACTGGGATTACAGGTGTGCACCACTATGCCCAGTTATTCTATATTCTTTTAAAGCAACGCTAATCCCATCAGGAAATAATTATCAGGGTATAATGATTCCTAACAATTATCTTAACAATTTTATTATTATTATTATTATTATTATTATCAGTAAATAATAATTTCCTGACGTGGAAACTAAACAGAGCAATTAAATGCAGGGTTTTATTTCCTGTTCTCTATATTGACTGGCATTAAAGAAAAAAAACCCTTGTTTTTATTTATTTATTTTTATGTTGTGCTGAAGATGGAACCCAGTGCCTCACATGTGCTAGGCAAGCGCGCTACCACTGAGTCATAACCCCAGCCCTTGACTGGCCGCCTGCTCCTGCACTGCTCCGCGCCTCCCCCTGCGCCCAAGGGGCTTTCCGGCCAAAGCGGAGCAGGGCGCGGGCTCTTCAATATTATTTTATCTTGCAAATTCAAACTATGTATAAATCTATAGCCAAACTATACTATTAGCTTGAAGACTAGATGTTATTTCCTTTAATAGCAAAGCAAGTATTGGAAAGCCTAACTAACTTATCCTTACTACCAACTATTTACCTAAGTGGAGAATTATAGTATTATTTTCATGATCTAACTTTTATTTTTTTGGGTGCTCTAATACAGATTGAAGGAAGGGCCGTGCACATGCTAGGCAAGTGTTCTGCCACTGAGCTACACCTCTAGCACTTATGTTCTAATTTTACCACTATTCTAAGAGGACTTAATATACAATTATAGCCTTGAATTCCTTGTATATATGAACCACAACACAATGAGGAAAATTCACAAGTCACAGTAATAATAACAAACATCATTCACACAAGAAAATGCTCTTGTATTTCTACATCTCCTACCACTATTACATCTATCACTTAACCCCAAAATTATTCTAGAACCTATATACTGTAAATAGAGTTTAAATAAAACACTAGAAATGTGAATTTWGGGATGGGGGTGTAATTCAGTGCTTACTCAGTGGTGTAATTCACACATGCCTGGCATGTGTGAGGCCCTGGGTTCAAACCTCAGCACCGCAATTAAATAGATAGATTAAAAAAATAAAGTAAAATAAAGGTCCTTTGACAACTAAAAATATATTTAAAACAACAACAACAAAAAGCTCTACTTACCAAGAAAGTATGCAAGAACTGCCATATCATTCCTTCACATAGAACAACACGGCTTTCTCACATTTCAAAAGATAAAAGTAATCAGTTGGCTTTAGAAGTGAAAAGCATGATGCAACTCCAAATAAAAGTAATAATTCTCTCCCCCATCATAATTTCATTTGCCACCTTATTTTAACCAATTACCCTAACAATCACTAACATTTATAAAAACACCTCTTCCCCACACCATGTGAAGACTTCTATTTCACATGCTTTTGCCACAAGCTTTACTCTAACCCTAATGTTTATTCATTTCAAACTGACACTGAATGTCTATTCAAACTTTATAATTGAGGGCTGGGGTTGTGGCTCAGTGGTAGAGCATTTGCCTAGCATGTGTGAGGCACTAGGTTCAATCCACATAAAAATAAATAAAATAAAGGTATTGTGCCTGTCTACAACTAAAAAATAAATAATAAATAAATACTTTATGATTGACGCTCAATTCAAGTTAGATTGCTTCTCAATAACATCCATACTAGTACCACTTTTTGTCACATGATCTACTATGGAAGTTTCAAAATGATATATATTTGGACATAGATATTAATCTTTGGGTGTGTTACTGGGGATCGAACCCAGGGGTKCCCCACCACTGAACTACACCCCAAGTCCTTTTTATTTTTTGAGACACTCTGGTTGAGTTGCCAAGGCTGGCCTTGACCTTGTGATCCTCCTGCCTCAGCCTCCTGATTAACCTGGATTATAGGTATGTGCCACCATATCTGGCAATTCTAAAACATTTTTAAACTCTATTTGTATCTTTGAGAGCTCCTCAATAACGCCTTAACACTGCCTAGTGAGCTAATTCACTGTCCCAGTGTTGGCTCATTTCTTCTCTCTTTTTAATCCTCTATAACCAGGTTTTTGTTCCTCTCATTTCCAAACCTACTTGTGAGGGTCACCAATATCCTTTTGTCTTGCCAAATCCAATAGCTAATTCTTAGCCTTCATCTTACTTGACCAATGGGCAGAATCTCTCATTAACCAAATTCCCCACCCCCTTTTTTCTGTACCAGGGACTAAACCCAGGGTACTTAATCACAGCCACATCTCTAGCCTTTTTCTTTTTTTGAGACAGGGCCTCACTAAGTTGCTGAGGCTGGTCTCAAACTTGCAATCTTCCTGCCTTAGCCTTCTGAATCSCTGAGGTTACAGGAATGCACCACCACACCCAACTCAAATCCCTCCTTTTGTTTGTCACTGGTTCCTGGTACACTACATTCCTTGATAACAAGCTATTCAGTCTCCTTTGCTAGACTAGTCTCCTTTTCTTGATTGAATGCTGAAATGCCTATGGTTTATCCTTGCACTTTGCCTTGCCTTCTGTCTAAATCAAGTCCTCCATAATTACATCCCGTTCCATGATACAAGATTAATCCCATATTTCTTATTGGTCCTGACTATTCCCACCACCTGAAGGCTTCCAAATGCTTATCTAACTTCTCCATATGGATATCTAATGAGCATCTCAAATACACAACTTGACTTTCTTCTGCCAGGTTCTTAACCCTGATGACTCTATTTCCAACCTTCAAAGTACTTGACTTCAAAAGTATTTATTCTATTTTTAAAATATCACCAATTCTCATCTATTAAACCCCATTCCAAGCCACTACCGCCAATGTGAAATTCTGAACTAGTCCTCTAATGGTCTTCTTGCTATTATTATTATTATTTAGTTTTTTAGATGGATACAATACTTTTATTTATCTCTTTATTTTTATGTGGTGCTGAGGATCAAACCCAGTGCCTCACACATKCGAGGCAAGCGCCCTGACACTGAGCCACAATCCCAGTCCTGCTTTCATTATTTTTWAAAAAATATATTTTTAGTTGTAGATGGACACAATACCTTTGTTTATTTCATGTTGTGCAAGGCAGGCACTCCATCACTGAGCTACAAACCCAGCCACCCACCCCCCCACCCCTGCTTCCATTTAAAAAAAAAATATTTTTAGTAGTAGATGAACATAATACCTTTATTTTTTATTTATTTTTATATGGTGCTGAGGATTGAATCCAGTGCCTCACATGTGCTAGGCAAGTGCTCTATCACTAAGCTACAACCCCAGTACCTCAGGACTTTTAAACAAAGATCCCTTACTCATCTGCACAAAACCAGTCAGGAGCTGGTTTCCATATACAGAATAAAATTTCATTACTTGCAGTGGCCTAAAAGGTCCTATAAGATCAAATCTATTTTGGTTACCTCACCTCTCCTTTCTATTCTCACTGTCTCTGCTCTAATTGCCCTGTCTTTCTTACTAATCCTCAAATAAGTAAAGCTCAATATATCTCTAGGACTTTGTACTTCTGCTTCCTCTGCCAGAATCTATTTCCTTGATTTTTTTTCATGGCTAACTTTATTTTGGTTTCAGTTCAAAGATTACCTCCCCTGACAGATTATCCTGACTATCCTAATCTAAGAACACAGGAATTCTCAACAGACATTTCCTGGTTGGAGATACTTGTCCAAGTTTAAATATAAAAGAATATCTAGGAGAAAAAATAATTCAAAAAATAAATAGAATGATTTCCCCTGAGAGAGATCAAAGGTAGTTTTCCTTTTTAAAACAAAAGGGGAAATAGGAGAGAAGAGTGTTATACATACCCACACTGATATAATGTACCTGCTCTCCCCAAGTGTCAGGCCTTCTTTCCTTGGGCCTTTCATGAGAGTTTCACACAAACATCTCAAAGAGCTGCTACTTCACAGACCAACCATAAAACTACCAGCAACAGATGCTTTGCTGTGAYCAACCCTCATTTCCCTCATCACTGTCTTCCTGTTTTGGTTCTTACCACCATCTAAGGCTCCTTTCCTTGCTCCAATAAGGAAGGCACATTTGGCTTAGGGATGATACATCCAGCTTAAAAGAAAAGAAATGGAACATGGTGATTCTTCAGGAGTTCTAGAATCAAATCAGATTCAGTGGCCAACAATGAAGAGACAGTGACAGAGGAAGGTATCATGATCCAAAGGATGATAAACACAGAAGTACACAATGAAGTACTCCATTTCTACCTCTACAAACTGAAACCTTTCCTTGGGAATGGAAATTAGAAATTCACAATGAAGGAGGCAGAAATTATATGGGGACAAATTCTGATTATTATATAAGAAGAGCTTCCTGAGTGAGGTTAGATTGCTATAGTTCTCTAATGTCCTATCCCTATCCCTGTGGGCAAGGTCCAGGCATTCCCATTCCTCCCGAGAGAAGTTGACAGACATATTACTGAAAGTCACCGGCCACTAGAACAAAAAGTTCATTCTTTATTTGTGAAAATATGGTAACAATTTTGAGGTGAAATGAGAAAGGATGGAAGAGGTCATGGAAGGAGGTGGTAAGACACAATAGACAATAGGCTATGGCTGATAATATTAATATTATTGGTCATTGAAGGAATATGTGTGCCTAAACTGTAGTAGCAACATGATTCTTAAGTACTTGTATTGCTACAGACAAACCTGTGTATAATAGGACAATTCAATTAATCAGAAAGGTCTGGAAGTAAAAAAGGGGAAATGAGAACATGAAATACTGAATGCAATCAGAACATTAAACTTTCTAATTCTAATAAACAATAATAAAATCTTTTTTGTTTTAATTATAGATGGACACAATACTTTTATTTTATTTATTTACTTTTATATAGTAATGAAGATTGAACCCAGTGCTTTACACGTGCTAGGCAAGTGCTCTAGCACTGAGCCACAACTGCAGCCCAACAATTAATTCTTATGAAAATAAGYCTTCCCTTCTCTTCTCCTTTTAAACAAAAAGATAAACAAGATTGATAGACTCTTTCCAAACAATTTTTGCCAGGTCTCCAGACTAATAGAATTTGAAAATAACTTAAGAAATTCTGGTCCATGAAGAGCAAGCTTTAGAAAACATTCTAATATTTCATGCATGTAATTTTAACATCTGAAAATAGGTTTTTGTATATTTATGGTGGGAAGTATTTAGTAACTTTCAACAAAGTGGGATGTTAATTTTTGTACAGTCTATGGGCATTTACACATATTTTTAATGTATTAAGATTTGGTAATTATTTGCACATGAAATTAATAAAATAGTTACTTCCTGTTATGATTTGTGAATTCCTTAAGACCTTGGTTTTTAAAAATAACTCGATATGAGAAATAATACTACATCTTTATATTTTAAAAATTGTATTGCTGCTCAAGAAAGGTACCCTGTTGTCAAAAAGACATACATTCATAATTGTACATTCAGCATTGTAAATAACCTTATGAAATCCTTTTTTAAATTGAAGCTATTCAAAATAAAAATTTAAATTTAAAAGCTCTGGACTGGCACATTCTGGCCATCTCCAAGGCAAACCTCACTGAAAACCATCTTCACTCACTGGTTCCTGGGTGAGATTGATATGATGATAAGTAGAATAATACCCCCCACCACCACGCAATGTCCATATCCTATTCCCTTGAACCTGTAACTACATTACCTTACATGACAAAAGGGACTTGTCAGGTGTGATTAAGGATCCAGAGATATGGGAAATTATCCTAGATTACTTGGCTGGGCCTAATGTAATCACAAGGGTATTTAAAATTATTGAAAAAACAGGGAAGTCAGAGGAGGAGACCTTATTATAAACATACAAGTCAAAATGATATGATTCTTGACTTTGAGAATGCAAGGAAGCCACAAGCCAAAGACTGTGGGCATTCTCTAGATCCTAGAAAACATAAGGAAACAGATTCACCTCTAGAATATCCAGAAAGAACACAGCTTGGCTGATACTCTGATTGAAGCCCTATCCTACCCATGACAGACTTCTGACCTCCAGAAGTATAAGAATAAACTTCTTGTTTTTCTTTTTTTGGTACTGGGGATTGAACCCAGGGGTGCTTTACCACTGAGCTATATCCCTAGCTCTTTTTATTTTTCTGAATCARGATCTTACTAAGTTATAGAGGATGGTCTTGAACTTGTGATCCTCCTGCCTCTAGAGTAGCTTGAATTATAGGTGTGAGCCACTGGGTCCAGTAATTTCTTTCTTTCTTTTTCTTTTTTGTTTTTTTAGACAAATTTATTTCTGTTACAGTAACAACAGGAATACAAGGGTCAAGATCTCTTTCTTCACAGGACTCTATCCCACCCAATTTTAAAAGTTTCACAGAAAATCTTGTCACACACTGAGAGAACATCCAAAGAGAAATGCTGTCATTTCCAACTAGAAAAACTATGTAGAGAAGATCAAGGTTTACTACATGTCCCTATTAACAATTCATCTCTACCTCATCAAACCATGGTACTAAGACTGCTCTTAAGAGGAGGTATTTCAGCCGGGCTTGGTGACACACACCTATAATCCCAGCAACTTGGGAGGCTGAGACAGCCTCAGCAATGGGGGTGATACACTAAGTAACTCAGAGAGACCGTGGCTCTAATAAAAAATACAAAAATTGGGCTGGGGATGTGACTCAGTAGTTGAGTGCCCCCTGAGTTCAATCCCTGCCCACCACCTCGTTAAAAAAAAAAAAAAAAAAAAAAAGAGGACTTATTTCTGCTCCCTCAGGGCTCCTAGTAAGGGACTATGCATGTGAAAAATGTAAAAAGATCCGATGAATGAACATCTAAACAATGGACAGAGGGAAAATGTTTAGAGAAGTCAGTGGTTTTTTCCTAGTATCATTTATTGGAATAGGAAATGTTTGGGACCAGTTCTCTTAGGGAACCAAAAAAGGCAGAAAATTTTGGGATACAAAAGTCCAATATTCACATCACACAATGAAATGATTGTCCTTCAAGAAGGAAAGAAGGAATAATGACTCACATGTGGCATAGTTTTTAAAATTGTCAGTACACATCTTTTCTCCGAGTTTCTCTCCTGGAAATGTGCAGAATCCAAGATGCCAATGCTGGAGAAATAAAAGAAGCCATGAGATCAGACTTGCCTCAGAGCTCACAAAATGAGTGACTCTGAACTACTTAAACTTTCCCTCTTTGAGGGAATTTGGAAAAATCTCAGCCCTCCCACAAATCCAATGAAAACCAGCTAGAGCAGAAGAGATTCAGGATAGAATTTTCCTTAATTCCATGATGTCAAACAGGACGCTAAAGGTGCTACTTTCCTAGGGTACCTTCACTCTACAGTAGCATAGGAAAGAACATGCCCAGGAAATTCCACATCCGGAGTCTTGTGCATAATAGGCAAATACCACTGATTGACATCCCCAAACACAGAACTTAGTTTTATAGATAAGGGATGTAAAAAGTGGAAACAAAGCACATCAAACAGATTTGTCATTTCAAAGTCCTTGTAAAGTGGGAACAGGAAGAGAGATCAATAGAAAAATTACTGATTAACATCAGATTACTTCAGGCCACTTTTTTTTTTTAATTGTAGATGGACATAATACCATTATTTATTTTTATGTGGTATTGGGAATTGAACCCAGTGTGCCTCACACATGTAAGGCAAGCACTCTATCACTGAGTTACAACTCCAGCCCACTTTAGGTTACTTTTTAACAAGGATTAAATGATTTAAGGATTAAAGTAGAGGAAAATTCGTTATTATACCAATTGAACCTGGCCTGTTTCAGAAACTGGGTTGTCTCTCCTGATTTCTCTGAAGATTAGATGACAACTTGTTTTTGATTTGGTGGCAAGGAACCTCAGCATGATTGATTCCATTTTGATAATATATGCTAAGGTTAGTGAAGGAGGCTAGTCCAATATTATGGCCTCCTACAATTTTATTTAGTATCAGGAAGGTACTTTACTTATGTTTACCTGCAACTCAGGAACTACCAAATGGAAAAGATGCATAAGCAAGGTATGAGGTGGAAGTATTTTACCCAGCTTTCATGTCCTTCCAGAAAAGCAACCCTCTTAGGACCTCAATGTGTTCTTCAGCCCCTCAGCATGGTAATAACCCCCTGAACAGTGACTCAAGCCCAAATGACTGCCGACAACATCTCCAACTCCACTGTCTACACCCTTCCCACTGCCTATATCAGTTCTTTTTTGCCTGTTTGCTCTTTCCCATAAAAGAAAATTCCTTCTGCCTGAACCTTGAGATGGTTGCAGATCTTATGGTTGTAGTATGCTCCCAATTACACCAGTTTCCTTCCCTTATAGCAATGATCCTTTGCATAAAGTCTCCAAGCTCAGGTTACAAAAGCAATGAGGGTTAATTCACAAGATGGTGAAAGTACATACAGCAGGCCACCTTTAGGAGTTTGACTTCAAGGGCTGAGGATATAGGTCAGTTGGTAGAGTGCTTMCCTTGTATGCACAAAGCTCTGAGTTCAATCCCCAGCACCATACACACAMAAAAAATAATTAATTGAAAAAAACTGAAGTATGACTTCAAGAGTGAACAAGTGGGCTGGGGCTGTAGCTCAGTGGCAGAGCATTTGCCCAGCAKGTGTGAGGGTTTGATCCTTGCACTGCATAAAAATAAACAAATGATATAAAGACATATTGTCCATCTACAACTACCAAGAAACAACAAAAAAAATACTGAACAAGTGAAAATCCTCAAATTATAGTCACTTTTTTTGCCATAGTTTTGTAGGACTGATTTTTTTTTTGAAATATTGATCTTGCATTTGCATCTTTCTTGAATTCAATGTTGCTTGAGTGATACCCAAGAAAAGCTAATGAGAAAGTAAATAATAAGGAACAAGATTTTCTTGGGTAGAATGTAGTTTGAAGAGTGAGAAGCCATTATAGTAAGATTTTGACTCCCATGACCAATTTTCACCCATTGGAGGTAATAACATCCTCACYGAGAATACATGGGCTAAAATTAATATAAAGATGTAAATTCCCTACAAGTGGATAAGATATTTGATATATGATAGAGATGCAAATAAAGCATCAAAAAGTATGGACCCAGAAACATTAAATTTAAATTCAATGAGCAAGAAAATTAAAAAGTAAGAATAGCCAGAAAATACCTGGAAAAAAAAAAGAGAACAGAGATTAAAAAAAAAAAAATTATAAAGTCCATGTCATTGAAATGCTAGATCTTGGCATATAAATAGATATACAGGATAATGGAATATAATAAAAATCTCTTATCTCTGYGCAAGATGGACTATTTTAATAAATGTTAGTAAAAAAGGTAAAATCAGATCTATGTATAAAACATATGTATATGTATACATATGTATACCACATACTAAGATTAGCTGCAAATAAATAAGAGCTCTAAATACTATAAAACAAAATCATAAAAGTGCTAGAAGGAAAAACTCGCTGTGTTCTTCTTAACTCCAGAAGGRAAAAAACCTTTCTATGACTTAAAATTATATGGATAAATTTTACTACATTTAAAAATTGCATGAGATACAAAAACATACAGACACATGAYAAATTGGGGGGGATTCGAAACTTATATTGAAAAGGGTAACTTTCAAGATCAAATGAGCTTCATTTTACAAATCAAAAGAAAAAAGTTGAGGAAAAGATGAAAATCATGATTTAAAATGTACATAAGAGGGCTGGGGATATAGCTCAGTTGGTAGAGTGCTTGCCTCAAATGTACAAAGCCCTGGATTCAATCCCTAGCACCACCAAAAAACCAAAACAAATATATAGAAGAGCTGASTGTGGTAGTGCAAATCTCTTAATTCCAGCTACTCCTGGAGGCTCACGTAGGACAACTTAACCAGGCACTTCATGGGCAATACTCACTTTTTTCCTCCTTTGAGAATGCATGTTTTAGGAGAAAGAGGAGAGGGAATTTTATAATAGGGAACATTATGCAGATAGCACGTAAACACTAATGGGTATAACATCACCACAAGTGGGACACCACACTTTTCAGAACCTCATGATGTGATGCAACAGGTACCAACCATGAACTATTTTTGCCTAAAAAGGTGATTTAGGTAAAATCTGATCTGAATCTAGATCTAGCTACACTTTTGCAGAAATATAGGGRATGTGGTTACAAATTTATACACTACAAGGAATCTATTATCCAAAAGTAAGATGTGGAATAGCCTACAGGTCAAATGATACAGGTTTTGTACAAATCAGTAGCACCAATTATATGAAGACAAAAGCAAAAAAATAGGAGGRAACTGACATGGATTAAACAGGGTTTAAAGTTTGGCACCAAAACGCAATGTGTGTAATTTACCTGGATCAACTGTAAAAATCTATCTATGAAACTAGGGAAATTTGAATATGGACTGGTTATATGATAGTATGAAACTACTGTTAGTTGATATAACAGTATTTTCATACTATCATAGGAAGAAAATGGGTAAAGATTGATAGAAGGTATGTTCTTAATTATAGCTATACTGTATAGCTATACTGTTAGAAACATTAAGATTTATACTTTCTATTCTGCTTGAAATTTTAATAAAGTTAAAATCAAAAGGTCTTCAAAGTTCCTTCCAGAAGTGTAATTATTTTTATCAAAATCTTGGCTCAGAAAGGATTGATATGTAACTGGGTAGAAAGGAGAAGTCTGGTGTAGCTAGAAAGCATAACTATAGTATCACTGGCTGGCTGGTTCCTCCTCAGGAAGATGTTGTAGGACACAGAAAATGCCTTGAAAAGAATGAAATCTGAGGGAAGAAAGAAAATGTTAACTTACTTTATGCAAGACTTTCAGGGCTGGGGTTGCAGCTCARTGGTAGAGCACTTGTCAAGCACATGTGAGGAAATGGTTTCGATCTTCAGCACCATATAAAAATAAATAAAAATAAAGGTATTATGTCTATCTACAACWAAACAATATTTTWAAAAAGATTTTTAAAAATAACGGCTTTCAAATGTGGAAGTCCTCCCTGTGTACCTCTCTTAGAAAAAGCAGMAGAAAAAACAACCAAAGGACACTAAATCTTCCTCAAAGTCCACAAAACTATTTAGGACCACCTCTACCCAACCTCAGGCAAGAAAGCCGTCCTCCCCACCCCCCAAAGGGCTCTCAAGGTGGAATGGGACATCTACTAATGTTATAGTTAAAGCTTCATCCTAGGGTTTCATAAACTGACTTCCAGACGYCTCGTCCTGCCCCCAGACAGATGAAGCCTCTCAGGGAGGCCTCCAGTGGGCCCCAGATACAGACAGATGAGGTCACACAGGGAGATCTCCAGGGAGACAGTGACAACGTCCAGTCCCAGGGAAGGTGTAAGCGATTGCGTCCAATCTGACCTTTTCCCCCACAGAAGAGTCAACTCACCAGAACTGACAGGCCGGCAGGAGGCTTTTCAGAGCGTCCTAGGACGGATTGGAGTCGTCCTCAGAGTGAGGCTGAGGAACGTCTCTCAGGAGCTCCCCTCTACTCAGGGGCCGAGGTCCAAAGGCCCGTCATTGGAGGCAAATTTGGCGTGAGGGTAGGGAAGAAATGGATCCCGGGGAGCCCCCAGATGTTTATAGTTAAAGCTTCSTCCCAGGGTTTCATAAACTGACTTCCAGACCACTCACGTATAATCGAATCAAGCCTTTATTGAAGCACACCGGTGGCGGCTGACCAGAACATAAAGCTGTTCCCCTGGATCAGCCCCGAACAATTTACAAGGGCGCTCCTTATAAGCCTGAAAACCGCAAAAGAGAGGTTAGGTTACAGGAGCAGGACAGTGCAGTCAAGCGGAGGGAAGCCTAACCAGTCACAGTTAGCCSAGTCACTCCAGTTACAGAAACAGAGCCCCATTACCCTAGTTACAGAAACAATGCCCCATTAGGTAGTTCCATGTTCTTAAAGGTTTCTTTAGCAGAAGGAAAAGAACATCTTGCCCCAGTCATGACTCTTCTACTTGGCATGGTTGTTTTATAGGATGAAGTCATAAAACAAAATGGAGTCACATTTGCTCCTACTACCACACTAGCATCTTCCTTTGATGCTTTCAGGGGTTAAATCCACATTAAAAGACAGTCTTCAAAAGAGCCTCGTTCTCTGTAAAGTGAAAGAACGGTGGCAGCTGTAATGAAGCAATTCTCAGCTGGCAGAACTCCTCCCTTTTACACAAAGGAACATTAGAGAGGTGGAGAGGAAACCAGCGGCCACGAACATTAGCCTCCAACGCGGTCCTACAAGCGCGCGCACACATGCATCCAGCGTTAAAATACTACAAGTTATACCCTTCCCTCCTCGGACTGACTCCCGCTTGCCAAGATAACGCTGGGGATCGTGCCGGAGGACTCTCCAGCGGCCACACCCATCAATTTCAGAGCGGTGGAACACACCTAGTACCAACAGGCCCTCGCTGATCTCGGAACTAAAGTGACGGTGTCTGTTTCCTGGCGGAGGGAGACACCGCTATCCCACCCCGGCAAAGCCGACTTCCTGGAAATAGTCTGGAGCACTCAGATCTAGAAGAAATGTCCTCCAGAGCCAGCGCTCTCCCTTTTACTGTCAGCATGGAGCCCCTGACAGCACTCCGCTTCCCCCCCCCCCCCCCCTTCTACGGGAGCTGTCTCCTGCTCCAACCCTAAAACGGGGGCGGGTCTTAGGGAGGGTTCCGGTTCCCAAGACCGCGGCACACCGGATATTTGCGTGAAGACGAAAGGGCATTCGTGTATGGAATGTCGCAGCGCCGCAAAGGCCTTCGGGAAACGTGGTCTACAGCGGGATACAAGCAGGGTCAGGGTGATTCCAGGCCTGATGGTGAGGTCCAGAATGGACACCGGGCTGGAATCCCATCTGAGCGGTCTTACTCAGCTGGCTCCCCAGAACTTCTAGAAAATCTCACACAAAAAAGGTTACATCTTATTACAATGCCTTCAAGGAAATGTAGTCCGTAACTGGAAAAACTGCAAAAGGCTGCGGGGCAGGGTCTGGATTTCTTTCAGATAAATCTACGTCTAGGATGCGGTCGCCACAGTAACCAGGTTGCTGAACGTTTCCGGGGCCGGGGCGGGGGATGATACCTGCTTCACAGCCGTGTGTGTGTGTGTGTGTGTGTGTGTGTGTGTGTGTGTGTGTCTGTCTGCCTGCCTGCCTGTCTATCAGTCCCAATGTCCCCTGTGGGGGGAAAAAAGTGGGGAAAGGCTGTGGCTGTCCTTGTGAATGTGGTGCATATTAGCTTGAGTTTGAGACTGAGGTGGGATATTGGTCCATTTGGGATTGTGCATGAGAGGGTCTTTGGGAAGGACAGATGAGGCTGGGGAATTTTCAGGAAGTAGGCTTATTTAAGCTGCAGCGGTCCAGAGGGGCTAATGCCTAAAAATCTTTGGACTCCGAGTCTGGAAATTCTTTTAGATTTATACTTAGTGGGGATTGGGGGTTCACATAACAGTTACTCTCTGTCCTGTATTCTTAGGCTAGACCATAATTTCACATGTTTTGTCTGCAAACCTGGCATTACAAGAAAGAGAAAGCTTCAGACCACACTGAGCTTTCTGCAGTACTCATGTGAAATCATGTTGACACTCCAAAAATCTTTCTGACCAGAAGAGAATCTTAATTATGGCAAGGGTCTTTGGGGTGGGGGTACCTGGTCTACTTCTGTATGACTAGCTTTGAGGATGTTATCAGACTTAGAAAGAAAGACAATGATATTTGGGTTCTTACAGAATTTTATAAATTACGTTGAGAATTGACCTTTGGTAGTGATTGTGGGAAAAGAAGTATGTGAACATAGTATTGTGAGAATGAGAGAAATTGTTAAGAGTTATCATTAAAACTCTAAGCATCAATTTCTTCACCTTTAAAATAAGAACAACAGTCATGTGAGGCTTTAGAACATTGCTGTCCAGTAGAACAAAACTGGATCCCATTTTTTAATATCAGTGCTATTCAGTACTGTAGCTACTAGTGATATCTGGCTATTGAGAACCTGAAAATGTGGCTGGTTTGACTAAGGAACTGGACCTTTTAATTTCATTTAATTCTAATAAACTTAGAGTTAAACAGCTATATGTGACTTGCAGTGTTACTTTTGGACAGTGCAACCTGGAAGATCAATTTGCCTTAAAAATTTGAAGGAGGTGAAAGTTAAAGTAATTCACGTATCAAATATTTGAAAATTGAAATGGGAAAGAGATGAAAGGAAATTCAAACTGAGCTTTAGTCTTTCTTTTTTTTTAAATTGAGGAATAATTTATATAAAATCCATAAATATTGCATATTCACCTCAATGATCCTTTACATACACAGGCAATTGCCACACACTGATCAAGAATGTTTCTTTGTGCTGGATATGATCGTATATGTCTGTAATACTAGCTGATCGGGAGGCCGAGGCAGGAGGATCACACATTCAAATCCAGCCTTAGCAACTTAGCAAGATCCTAAGCAACTTAGTGAGACCCTGTCTCTAAATACCAAAAAAAAAAAAAAAAAAATCTTCCTTTTGCCCCAGATTCCACCCAGAAATGACCAATATTTGAACTTCTAAAACCTTAGGTTAGTGTTGGGGTATTCTTTTTCTTTCGCTCTGTTTTTTCTGTGGTACTGGGTATTGAATCTGGGGTACTCTATCTCTGAGCTGTACCCCCAGCCATTTTGATTTTTTATTTTGATACAGGATCTTTCTGAGTTGCCTAAGCTAGCCTTGCGGTCCTCTTGCCTCAATCTTCCAAGTAGCTGAGATTATAGGCATGCACCAAAGAGCCCAGCAGTTTGGGGGTATTCTTGAACTTCATGTGAATGCAGTCAGAATAAATGATATGTCTGTCTTGTTGCCATCCACAATGACTCTGAATTGTCTTTTTTTGTTGGGTGTGGCAATAATTCCTTTAACCAGCTAATAAATATTTTAGGTTTGGTAGATCTAATGGTTTCTGTAACATCTCTTCAACCCCTTTAAGTGGCATGAAAGCAGTCACAGATGACATATAAACATCACTGTGTTCACAAAATATTATGGGGAACTAGAATTGGTGGCACACATCTGTAATTCCAGTTACTTGGGAGGCTGAAGCAAGAGGATCAAAAGTTTGAGACCAGCATTGATGACTAAGCAAGGCCTTATCTCAAAATAAAATTTTTAAAAGGACTGAGGATGTAGTTCAGTGGTAAAGTACCTCTCTAGCATGGATGATGTACTGGGTTTAATGCCTGGTACTGAAGAAAAAATAAAACAAAAAACTTGATGGACATGGAAATTTGAATTTCACATAATTTTGATATATCAGAAAATGCTATTTTTTAACCACTTAAAACTATTGGTAGGTTAATGACCATGCAAAACTACAGTGATGGGCTGGCTTTAGTCTACAGACTGTAGTTGTTCAATCCTTATCATAATTTAATCTATTTTGTATTGGTAGACACTTGTGTGTCTTCTGGTATTTTTGCTATTATGACATTTAACATTCTTGAAATATCTTTTGGTAGACTTAGCGCTCATTTCTGTGGGGAATCTAATAGTGTAATAGCTGGGTCATAAGTAGGCATATATTTTCTAATATGTGTGTATATACATATTTGTAGATACTGCCAAAGTATCTATATACCTTCACATACCTTTCCAAAGTGGTTGTGTCAGTTTACATCTCTATCAACAAAGTAAAAGATTTCAGCTGCTCTTCTTGGCCTTCTTAAATTTTGTAATATTAATAGGTGAGTAGTGGTAACTCAGTGTGATTTTAATTTGTGTTTCTCTGATGAACGTTCAGGTTAGCCATTTGAATATCCTCTATGTCGAACTGCTTCTTCAGCTCTTGACCATTTTACTAAAATCAATTTGTT